ATTTTTTTTTTAAATGAAAATTATAAACTAAAAAAAAAATTTATTTTTATTAAATTAACAAGCGAGTATATTTATGAAAACTATTTTTTATAGTGTACAGATTTATTGTTTAACATAACTCTGACAATGTATTGTAAAATATAAAATACTTTTAATTTCCGAAAAGTAAAAATATTATAATTTATCTGTTAAATTATTTATTTATTTCGTGACTCTTAGTTAAATAATCAACCTGTGATAAGACAATCTAAAATTATATTACATTTAGTTAATCTATAAATTTGACGTTTGTAGGTGATGATTCGTTAAATTATGAATGCAAAGGAAATAAATTAACATGTAAGATTCTTAGTGAATGTACAGCAGTGCATCAACTAATTAAACAAGGAAAAAATCCAAAGATATGCAAGTTTGTTGGTTTAGAACCAATGGTATGTTGTCCAACAGATAATCTATCTAATACTAGATATGAAACAAAACAATCAATCTTCGAAGAAAGTATTAGATCATAATTAATAATTGATTTAACTTGACTCTTTAAAAAATTACATTTATAGAGTGCAATGAGTATATTCAATATTCCCGTGATTACAAAAATAATCCAGTTACAATGAACTCTGACAACAATTTTTTTCATGTAACAGTTGTTGGCGGCAAAAACGCAAATCCGAAGGAATTTCCTCATATGGTTCGTGATGATAATATAATAATCTATAAAATGTTAATTCATTTTTATCTTATAAATTTAGGCATTGATTGGATACGGAAAAACATTAGAAAGTGTTAGATGGTCCTGTGGTGGTTCATTGATAAGTCATAGATGGATCTTGAGTGCTGCACATTGTGAAAAATTAAATTCGTAATTATCTGATAATTTAATTAATTTTATTANTAATTATCTGATAATTTAATTAATTTTATTACTTTCTTGATCTTTTCATAAATATTCTAGATTATCAGCTCGGTGGGTTCGTCTTGGCGATCTTGACATAGAATCAGATACTGACGATGCACAACCCGTAAACTATGACATAATTCGGCGCGTAGTGCATCCAGATTTCAAACCACCTTCTAGATATAACGATATTGCATTGTTCTACTTAGATAAAGATGTTGATTTTTCAGAATATATTCTACCACTATGTCTTAATGCAAATCATCAATTATACATGACAAATCTAATTGCTACAGGCTGGGGATTGACATCCACTGGTTGGTTATCAATCCTATATAAATTACAAAAAAATATTTAATGCAAATACTCCCATAAATAAATAGAAAAATTATTTCAAGTAAAAGAAAATGAAAGGCGTAATAGCGTAACTGGTCCAATTACTGAACAATTTCTAAAAAATAAACAACATTAATATTATTACTTTAAATTCCACTTCTCTAATATCCAAATCGAGGAGTTCTTTGTTCATTTCATATACATTGTTTTATTACCAACATTTAAAACTTTTATATTAACATTTAAAATACATTGTGAACAAACATATCATTCAGTTAAAGGGTTTATTAAATTTTTTGAACTTTTCAAAATTTAATTGATGAGGTTGGTTTTTAATATTATTTAAATATGAAAACTCTAAAGATGCAATTATTAATACTATTCCAATAAATTAGAATTTAATTTGTAATAATAAATCTGTTTATTACCCTATTTTCGAAAAAAGATTAACGTTAAAAGAGTCTTAAATTAATCTGTAAATTTCTTATATGATTAGAACAATTTCTGTCTGACTTTTAAGATATGAGTAATACTCAAACAAACTCACCTGATATTTGCAGTAATAAAATGTATTTAACCCTAAAAGTCTTATACCCTATTTAATAATGTTTGAGACTTTACGCATTCATATCATTTGTTTGAATCACTTCCGAGACATTCAGCTCCATGAAACTTCGCCATTGAACAGTATAATGGGAACATTTTTTATTGTTGAGGGTATAATCTCCCACGCCACCAAACTAATTTTCTAATTAATATACATATTTTAGTTTTTACAAAAACAAACAATGCATAAGGCCTCAAACCTTCGTAATAAACATCAGTGACAGATTGAAAATTAAGTTCTTATTAAGAGCATTTTATCTACAGCTATATTTTTATTATAACTTAGAAAAATAAAACAATCAATTAGAGAAACACTTTTTGCCGTAAAATTTTAAATTTTTATTAAAAATTAAAAAGTAGATATTTGAAAAAATTTACAAAAAAAAAATTTATTGAATAATAGAATAGTTCATAACTAATTATACAACTTTATAAATAAATAAAAAACATATGGTCTATTTTTAGGTGGCCCACCAAGCTCCCATTTGCAAAAAGTTGATTTGGATTTAATATCAATGGACAAATGTAAGGCAAGTTATGGTATAACCAAATTACTCAATATTGGAATACATAATGAAAGCCAATTATGTGCTGGATCAGAAACTGAAGAAAAAGATACTTGTCAAGTACTATTATAATTTATTTTAAAATCTTATTAGATTTAAAGTGAAAAATGCTTTTGTAAATGATGACAGGGTGACTCTGGAGGTCCATTACAAATTGTTCATCCTAAATATAAGCAAATGTACGTTCAAGTCGGAATAACTTCTTTTGGAGAATTTTGTGCAGATAAAGAAAAAGCTGGAGTATACACTAAAATTTTGCATTACTTACCATGGATAGAAAAAATAGTTTGGCCTTCATCCAATGCATTTCTTTGAGTTAAAATAAGACTTTGTTTTAAAAATCAGTAATGAAAATAAACTTTTCATTATACTTTTATTATTTTTTGTGCAAATTTCAAATACGTATTTATTAGAACTTTTCAGCATATGTTGTTTTGGAAATGATAACAAATTATTTGTTATCATTTAAGTAAAAATGTTTATTACTCAATATTAAGTAAAAACTGAATAACATATTAAAAAATTTTTTTTTTTTTTATTGATGATAGATTTTGGTTTTAAATAAATTAAAAATATTGGTGCGAAATTTTGGACAATATGATGTGTTTAACCTATTTATTTAAATCTTAAAAATTATGATGAATAAAAAATCATATAACATCGTGACATGACATTTCTATAGCAATTGATTCTTTATCAAATGTCCGAAATAAATTAAATTTAAAAACTTTGTGAACATAAATTGATAGCTGGTTTACCCGCTAATATTTTATTTATAGTTTAGATTCCACAAATGTTCTGTGACGATACCAATGGTTAAGTTTTAAATGGACTTTTGGAAGGAGATTTTTGTTTTATTACAGTAATATTTATACTAACAATTGTAGATTTATTATTTAAATTATATTCACCAAAACGTTTGTTTATTCCTATTTTTTTTTATTACTTTATCCAAAGACACATCTATACCTGAAATGTTATCAAATGTAACTTCATATAAATAAAAAAACGTATTCATTAAAAATCAATAATATAATAATTATTATTGGCTAACATTTGTGATTTCCTTTTCTAAAGGACAGGAAAATTTTGAAACTTAATTTTTAAAACTACATAAAAAATTGTTTACAAATGTACTCTCTGAATGTTTTATGGCTAATACATAAAGAAATGAACAATGCATAATGATCATACATTCACTCTTTTCATTTATCGGAGTAATACATTCTATTAAAGTTCTACATTTTATTATACAGTAGAATTCAAAGTTGTAAGACATCACCAAATTATATATTTCATGATCTTAGATTTTAGAATTGTACGCAATCGTAAACATTTAAATCATCATATAAATGCATAACATTTTTTCTTTATATAATTTATTCAAAACTTATTTTGAAAAATTATAGATAGTTTAGTGTAATAACATAGATTTTTATAAATCTTTATTATTAGAAAAATAATTACTTTTTAATTGGTAATATAATTAGTGGTGCAACTCCATTTAATAAAAGCCCTCCATTTAGAATTATTCAAATCAATATTATGTTTGAAAAATAAATAAATATTTATGAAAAATGTTTGATTTAAAAACTATTTAATTACTAAATATTAGTAAGTAGATAAAACTATTAAAAACAAAACAAGTATTTAACAAAATTATAAAAAAATGATAACAATGATAACATTTTCAATTATTTCTGAAATAATAAGTGTCTTATTTTTAATCCCTATATATATTCCTTATTGTATAATATATCTAAATAAAAATACTTAATAACCAATGTCGTACGTCGGTAGTGCCCCAACGTAGACACAAAAGTAGTACACAAATTAACTAATGTTTTTGACGACGAGTTTTAATCTCTTTTCGATTCCTCCCGTTGGATACACTGGTCAGCCCCAATCCCTCCAATTAGTGAACTACTAAAGGGATAGAGTTTAGACCCATTAGCTCGGTCAAGCTCAAAAGTATGTCTTATTCAGTTTGTTACAATGAAATCAGGTATTTTTTGTTACGTTATGAATTTATAGATATAGATTATATTATTATCTACATTTATATATTATATACTGCAACTAAAACATTATGCTTGTTACATTATTTTTTTAAATTCAAATATATTTATTGATTATTCATACGTAACATAAATATTAGTTATATCAATAAAAAAAGGATTTTGTCATTATTTAGTCAATATGCAAAACTTTAATTACAGTTTTAAAATAAGCGCAAAAATAGGTTTAGAAAAAGTATATTTTGGTCTCTGATAAAAATTCCTTGTAAACCATTTATTTATAATTAACAAAAAATTATCTTCTGATAAAAGTAATAACTACTTTATAATTTTTTATAATTTCTCCATAAACGCATAAAATACTAAATTATTAAATATAAATTTAATATTACGTTAAATTGCTATAATAGATATTTATTCATATATTATATTTATAAATCATAGAATTGCTAATTAGGAATAATGAAGGAAATAGTAGTTATTTTATTTTTGGAATAATCCACCAATTTAATTAAAATTAAACATATCTACAGATTTGTATCGGAGCGTTTCTTATAACAGTGATTTTAATCACTGTCAGATATCATCTAAACATGTCCCAACTAAGCCACGTCCACACTGTGCAACCGTTTTAGCTTCGATGCGAAGCTGAGAAGGTATTGGTTTTACTAAGATGTGTTTTTTCATTTATTTTTTTTTTGTGTCTGTTACCACTTTTTCTCAGCTCTCACCGAACCGATTTCTTTCAATAATACGTCAAAAGATCACAAATCGTATCTAGTCGAAGACATTACCCTTAAAAATTGAAAAAAATTCCCTCGTTCCCCGTAAATGGGGGAAACCTCCAAAAAAATTACAAATTTAAAAATCGCTAATTTTCGAAATTTTTTCAATTTTTTT